CTGCATTGAAGGAAGAGGAATTGTCTTGGGCCACATATAAAATATACAATACAATTAATGTATATAAATAACAAACTTCCCTTATTTGGGAGAGGTCTTGTGGGGCCGCATTGCTAGGTATCCAGGGCCATCTGCAGCCTGTGGGCTGCGGGTTTGACATGTCTTCCTTAGTTCATAAAACTATACTGTATTTTTATTTCACTAGATTCCTGCAAGAGCTAAAGCTGTGGGTGAGAATCCGTAATCTGTTTATTACATAAATATTGAGCTGAGATCTCTGACAGGAAACAAAAAGTAGAAAATGTGTTGACTCAGATAGGCAGGAGAAAAAAAGCCTAGAATTTAAAACTTGAAGAAAATGTACATGTAGCTTGACATTGTAAGAGTCAGATATTTTATATATATATCACTTGTCTTCAGTAAAACACCTTATATAACTGTAATGTCTGCAAAGCTTCTGTTGCAAGCAAACTACTGAATAAAGGGTTGAATCCATGAAGAGTCAAAATTTATTTTCATATCTAGTATGAAGTCTGACAATTTTACCTATCCATGTATTAATAGTTATGTTTATGTGATACAAGAAGAGTAACAACAGTTTGGTCTACCTTTAAGTCATTATTAGTTTGCTTTGTTTTTTGAACATCTTGGTTTAAAATACATTTGAAAAATTGTCTTCTAATAGGAATTATTCTAATGAAGAAATTGCATTTTAAATAAAATTATGTTTATGAGATACTAATGCAATAAACTTTATTAACTTATGAATGGTTAAATTCCATCTTTTTAATTAAATTATTTTTAAATGACACTAGCTACTGAAATGAAAGTTCCAAAACCAAGAGGGAGACCCAAATTGATAAAACCACACTGTCCTCCAGAAAGTGACAGGTACGTTTATTTTTAAATGTTGCTGTTCTGTAGAGACAGGAATACTATATACCATGTTTAATTGTAGATATTTTATAGAATTCTATGCAGTGGATCTAGATTTAACTGTTTTAATGAGGCTGAAATGCATATTGTTACAAAAGATGTATAATTCATTGTTATCCACTATTTCCTTCTAACATGTAGAGAAATAATCCCATGAAATTTACATATAGATTGTGACCTTAAGCATTCTTTTAGACTTCTCAGTAACTTTTAGTAACATGAAAGCATTCTGGACAAGCTTTGTTGGTTAGGAATTCAAACCACTGCTTTCATATTTGACTGATTCCAAATGCTGGTATTACAGATTTATTTCGTAGATCCTTGAAAAATCTAAAGCCAGCGTGCCATAGTCTCCCTGGGGTTACTCATGTACTTATTTGTATCTAGATTTGAGTTTTGCCATATTTATGTGGATCTGCTTTTGACTATGTCATAATTAAATAGCCAACTTAAAAATAGTGCAAAAATTCTTAAATTACCATGGTAAAATAAAATCCCAAATGGAACAGTGGAACAAGAATAAAGATGTTATTTTACCACAGAAAAATCTGAAAGCATACATTTCTTTAAAATGCTATTATAGTAGTCCTGAAAGAAATGAGTCAAAAGAAGGGGACTATGACATGAGCATTTTTCTTATTTAGGTTCTAGACCTATCACTTATTAGTCCAGGTAGGCATCAAAATCTTCTTACACCTATAGATGATAACAAATAAATGCTGGGATAATGTTTTGAAGGTGCATTGTAGGACTCGGATTAAAAGATGGTTGTATCAGTAAGGATTCTCTTTTCCTGTTAAAATAGATGTTCCCCTCATAAAACGTGGGTAGTTATTTTTTCTGATAAGTATCTGTTCCTTCTACTTTGTGAATGGCTGATTTCAAGGGTTTCATCTCTTTCAAATAGATTCTTAGAGCAGAGAATTTGAAAACTCATTCCAGAAGGTCCAGAATCATAAGTGCAATCACAAAGAGAATCTCTTTAAATTCTACAGATAAACTGAATCATTGTCTTAAACAAGTACAATAGTTTTCATTAAACAAGCTAGTCTAGAATACCTAAAGTAAAGTGTATGCAGTATATATCATCCTGAAATTTTGAAGAACATGACTTCAAGCACTTGGATTCTCCATTCAGTTGTTTGTTTATTGAACTGCCAGATTTCACTATCTCTTCAATGTTTGATATCAACTTTATTTTAAGTAAATGTTTTTATATCAAAAGATAGTACTTTTTAGCACATTCAGAACTAAAGGGATATTTGTTTTTAATCTTTAATGCAATTTTTAAATTTGAAAATAAAGCTCATATTTGTTTTGTTTTGATATATTTTAGTATTCATGAGGAAGATAAGGGTAAGAGAAAGAATGTTGAAGAGAAACCATCCAAAAAACAGCAGAGAAGAGATGACGAGGGTCAAAAGGAGGAAGACAAAATTAGAAAAGACCCAGACAAAAAGGAAAATAAAAAAGACACTGACATGAAAAGGAAAAATACTACTAAAGTGGGATCAGCATCTGCCTCTGATACCGAAGACGATGGGGAAGAACAAGAAGGGAATAAAGTATATAAATTTTATTTCTTTAATTTCAGATACAGAAAAAAATCCTTTATATATTGCATAGCAATTGAGCTTTGTTTATTAAATAATGTCAGGCACAAGAAACCAGGAGCCAGGCTAGAGTTCAGAAGCACTGAGAATTATTCTATGCAGCCTATATAAGAATCGGATCTACGAACAGTAAAGGCAAATTGGCGGCAGATAAGAGTCAGTGGACTTCAGGAGGTGGGGCTGGACTTAGGTCTCTTTCGGGGGGGGGGGGCTTAGGAACTACAGACTGATGATGCCTTTGATCTTGCCCTCAGGCTCTTCCTATTAATCTCCTACAGTAAGATGATATTATTAGAGGTATTGGATCCTGTGTTAATAGGAGTGTTTAGCTTCATGTTCAATTAAAAATATAAAGATTGATATAATTATTATCACATTTATATTACATTTTTATTCTGCCTTTTCTTAAGATGCTTCTCATTCTAATATCAGCTATAACTTGTCTTTCATCTAGTAGCACTATGAAAGCTAAATTACCATGAAATATTTCTGTAGTTGTGGCTCAGTTGTTCTCTTTTCATTTTGTTGAAAGTATAATTCAGTTTCAAATACAACAGGGTTTCATAGGGGTTATAAAATTTTAAAAATGCAGTGGAGAAGTGCAATGGAAAGTGGATTACATGTCATTTTTCTTAAAAATGATGGAATTTTTTTTCAGGATGTAAAATTGTTACCTGACGTAAAATTAGAATAGACAGTTGTTTCAACAACTAAAATCTTTCATTCCTGTTTAAATTAAAATGAAAAAGAAGAAAAAAGGAAGAAATGTTCAAGGGTCTCATAGAAGAAACGTTATAAAAGGCCAGCATGAACGTGAAATAGCAGAAAGGAAACGTAAACAGGAAGAACAAATGGAAGAAGAATTGTGAGTATTGCAGGCATTTAGATTTATAGACATTGAATGGTTATATGATTAATGACCTTATTTTCACAAGTTTTTCTGATTATGGTTTTGCAAGGAGTATTTAATTCCAAGGCTATAGGAGCAGTTCATTAATTCAACAAGAACCATGTACTGTATAATCCAATGTTTTATTAGTTAGCTTTGTAACTTTTTCTTTTATTTATCTGTCTTTCTCAAGAAATATAATATAACAAAATCTTCTCTAGAATCTGGCCACAATTCTGTGAGATATATTGGACTGAGAGAGAAAGATTAACTCAAAGTTACCCAGTTGAAAATGGTTTTGCACAGGATTCTCCCTGGTTCCATCTTAACCATTCTGCCATACCAGAAGAAAATGAAGAACAGCTAATTGATTTTACCTAAGATTTACATAAAACATCAGTAGGCAAATCTCAATTTTTCCTTATGAAACTGATAAAAGAACACTGCAGTCAAACCAGAAAGCCAAATGAGACTAGTTACTAGAGAGTTGCAACAGCATCCAAAATGTTCTAACATTTTGTTTTGAAGTAAATAAGGTTTTCCATTCCTCTTGGTATTCCATAATAGGAAACAATGGGAACGTGAAATAAGCCTTTTGTTTATTTTATCATAGGATCATACAAAATCTCCAAAAGAATTATTTTTCATTAATGAATTTTCAAAATATCGTTACCAAACTATAGAAGCAATTATTGAGCATTTTTGCAGTCTTCCTGTTTATTGTTTAATTTCAAAAAATCATCCCTATTACTGAATTCTTGTTCATGACCCTTTTCAAACTGGTCTTACGAAATGTTTTTATTTGTTTCATATCCATTTCAAAACTGAGACTCAGGTGACAAAAATGTAGAATTTATTCTGTGATAAGAGTGATGGGTAACCTAAATTATTATCAGGAAGCACTAGCCTAGTCCCAATTTTAGGATTTAATATTGTTAAAAACTTGATTTAATTATCATTTTAAATAATTATTTGATCAACTTTTCAGTATTTGATAATTCTCCCTTCTGTCACATAAAAATTTCAAATTAGTAATAATTTTGGGAGATTTCTGGATACAACACAAAGATTTCAAAGGCTGTGTGCAGGCAAGGGCTTCATATCCTGCAGTTCTGATCTACTTTATGAAATCATTTATTATACTACATTAATTATCTCATCCTGAGATAATGTTAGAAACATTTACTGAGATAGTGGCAGCACTGGAGAAACAACATTTTTTTAAATATAGATATAAATATTTTTATTGAGTTTTATAAAGGTAATAAAGGGATAGGGTCAAAAAGGATAAGACAACGGGAAACATACAAAAAGGTTAGACCAGGGGAAAGGGGTAACACAAAAGTGGGATTAATCCCACAAAATAACATTGCTTCAGCAAGTCTACCAGTCCGGGTTTACATATTAAATCTAATAATTACTCTATTATTAAACAACTCTCCATATAATCATGTAAATAACAAATTAGTTTACCATATTTTTAAAGATTTTTTAAGAAGAAATAAGAACAAGTTCATACAAATAATCATGGAATATAAATACAAATTATCAATTAGCTCTTTAAATTTCATAACCTTTTCTCATTCTAGCGTGTTCCTTGCGCAGGGGCCATGCTAATCTTCTCTGTATCGTTCCAATTTTAGTATATGTGCTGCCGAAGCAAGCACAAGAATAATGTTAGAAACATTTACTGAGATAGTGGCAGCACTGGAGAAACAACGTTTTTATTAGATTTGTACAGTGCCTTTTCATTTAGGAGTGCAAGATGTTGTTTGTAGTGCTCCCTTTCCTGTTTTTACCTACAATAACACTGAGCGGGTTGGACTGAGAAAGGCAAAAATACAATAGCCATTTGCAACTCAATGTAATGCTTCAAGTTTTATACAAAATCATATGAAACTGCCCAATTTGATGTATGTCGTGTCTTACATTCTTTCTGAAACAAAAATCAGTCATTATTCAAGTTAATTATTTACTCTGTAATGGTTAGCATGACATTGTACTCATGGTGGCGCAGCAGTTAAGAGTGCAGTACTGCAGGCCACTTTAGCTGATTGTGTTCAGCAGGTCAGCGGTTCAAATCTCACCGGCTCAAGGTTGACTCAGCCTTCCATCCTTCCGGGGTAGGTAAAATGAGGACCCAGATTGTTGGGGGCAATGTAAATATATATATACATTGCTTACTGGTGTACACCGCTTAGAGAGTGCTTGCACTTAAAGCGGTATATAAGTCTCATAAATAAATAAATAAATAAATAAATAAATAAATTTTGTTCTTTGGATATGTAGTCTAATTTAAATTGAATATTTTGGATAGGCAGAATAGAGAAGAAGGCAAGAAGCCAGAAAATAAGAAGATAGAGAAAAAACGAGGTCAGTGGTCAAAGGTTATTTTCCAATTCTTAAAATGTTTTTGTACTTGGTAATGTAAACAATACTAACCTTTTGAATGAAATCATATAGGCATTTTGCTACTTTTTTTTCATCCTGAATGTGTAAATGCCATTTCCATTTCTTAATTTCTGCCTGACTAGTAGGAAAAAATTGCTTTATAGCATGAAAACTGGAACAGTCGTCAAGATTTGCTGTATGTCTATTGTATAATGTTGTGCCATGTTTGCTGTGCTTTGTAGACTGAGCTTTCAAAGAGCTAGGGACCAGTCCACCTTCAGGTAATTAGCACCTCTCGGCTGAACCTACTTCCCCCAGTTCTTGCTGTAATAAAATATTACAAGAAGAGAATGATATGTATTCTGCCTTAGATCCCAAAGAAAAAGTGAGATATAAAATAACATTGCAGGCTCTTTATTATTATACTCTTGGGCAGCCTCTAATATAGCCTTGGTTATCTACTTATTATTCTTTCTTCTATATGTAGACAACATAAGTAGTGTTGCTTTGAACAATCGATTTTATTAAAAGTTTTATTTTCCCTATAAAAGAACGAATAGCATTCCCTATGCTTCAACCATATGCTTAAATTTTAACAAAATTACTTTGAGTATAGTTCAAATAATTTTATTGGTTCATCCCTTTTGAAATACATTCTGGCATTTACTTTAAAATGTTCAAAACACTTATCTTTTAATAACCTTATTTTGTTTTAACATTTAGAGACATCAATGGATTCTCGGCTTCAAAAGATACATGCAGAAATAAAGAATTCACTCCAGATTGACCATCTTGTATGTATGTTGTATAGACTCCAAATATTTTGTAATGAGTTTTAAAAAACAAATTTTGCAAATTTTATCACAAAGCTATTTAGTTAGTATATAATTTGTTCCACCTTTTTCATACGATGATTTCTGTTCCATTTTAGAGCAGCTGGCTTATTTATTTATGCAATCTATTACTACTACTCACAGACTTGAGGCACTTTACAAGTATTAAAATAACAGCAAAATAGAATTATATTTGAAAACTTCAGTGAATAATAAATCATTTAACTGTTTCTCCTATAAAATTAGATTAAACCCATGCACACATTTAATTATGTTTTACCTAACTGATAGGAAGCAATAGTGAGTTTTTTCCCCCTAAGAAATGAAGCCTTCGGATCTTGTTATAATAGGATGTGAACAGATGCATTGAGGCTTTGGATGAACTTGCATCACTTCAAGTAACAATGCAACAAGCTCAGAAGCATGCAGAAATGATTTCCACACTCAAAAAAGTAAGATCAGTAGCTAATTAAAAATAATAACCTTTAATGAATTTTGATTAAAATCTTAATTTTTTCATGCATTAAAATAAGAATTTAGTACAATGGTTGGTCCATTGGTTTATCCATAACGAACTATTTTCAGAAAGCATGGCTTTGAACAGCTACGTGTTGTACTCTCATTTATAAATGCATTCTTTCCCCTCCCCCAAATATCGTTTTAGATACGAAAGTTTAAGGTTAGCCAGATTATAATGGAAAAATCCACTATGCTCTATAACAAATTCAAGACTATGTTTCTTGTTGGGGAAGGTGATTCCGTTCTTTCACAAGTACTAAATAAGTCACTAGCTGAGCAAAAACAGCATGAAGAAGCAAACAAAACCAAAGAACAGTGGAAGAAAGGAACAAACAAAAAATCTGAAAAAGACAAAGAACAAACAGGTCTGTGCAGTTCACTAAAAATGTATATGTTCACTGCCCCAACTGTGATACATACAATCTTTTATATGTCAATTTGAGAGCTCTGAATTAAATGTAACACTACATTTATACTGAAGATCAGAATGTAAGCACTCTTACCTCATTAAATTTTGGGGGAGACGTAAAGCATTTGAATGTTAAAAGAACATTTCATAGTGAAATGTACACACACGTACACTTTGCAAATCAGATTTTGGAATCAGCAAACTATTCTTGTATACCCAGTTCACAAAGCCATAGCTACAGAAAGGGTCAAGACTGATTACTCAGAACTTTCCCTCATTCTATCCATGGAATTATAGAATGTAAGACTGGAAGGTTCTCAGGAATAATCTAACACAGAGGTGGGGAATGATGGTCCCTTTATGACTTGTGGATTTCAAGTTTCAGAATTCCTGAGCCAGCATTGCCGGCTCTGGAATTCTGGGGGTTGAAGTCCACAGGTCATAAAAAGGGGCATTGTCCCCTCCCCATCTAACACAATGACACAAAAATACATGCAGCCCTAAACTTATAATCATAATTGGATTGGAAATTTGGTTATTAAATGATGCAGTCATTAAGCAAATCATGATGTGACTTGCCTTTATGCCCATTTTTACTGTAGTCATTAAGCAAATCTCCAGTCATTAAACAAATATGGTTTCCTAAATTATCTTTTTCTTGCTGGAATGCATCAGGAAGGTCACAAATCACAATCACGTAGACAAGGTACTGCAACCATTGTAAAATGCAAGCTGGTTGCAAGTGCCAAAATTGTGATCACATAACCACAGGGTCATGCAACAGTTATAACTTTGAGGCTATGGTAACATTATACTTTTGTTAAATGAATATAATAAGTCAAGAACTACCTGTAGGGGAATAGCAGGCATGTTAGAGTATATTACTATAAATAATACAATAAATAACAAGTTGGGACATAATTAAATTGGGTCCAACTTTGTGCTCAATATCATTCAGCTCAAACTAGAAAAACTGTATAGGGATTTATTCTGATTCTTCCTGCAAGTCAGCACAACATCTCAAGCTTTACTACAAAGTTAGATGTATTACCCTCCATTTTGCTCCACAGATTTTAGACATTACTTATAAAATGTATCTGAAATTGAAAAAAAAAATATGCTTCCCCCCCCCTTTTACAGTGGAACAATGATAAATCAAGGTTGAAAATAATCCTATTTGCATAGATGTTGTATAACAAGCTGTTATTTAACATGCTGATAAAGCTTTCTTTTAAAAAACATTAAAGGCACAAAGGTAATGAATGGTGCTTCTGAGAGTCAAGATACAAACCAGTCACAACAAAATGGAGATACCGCAGATGAAAAAAAAGAGAAGCTAGATTCTGGCAATAAGAAAAAGTAAGTAGTAGATTTTCTGTTCTAAAAAAATAATGAAAATATGTGCTACTTCAGCACATATTTAACTTCAGGCAGTTATAAAGTATCATAATCAACTCATGAACAAGAAAGTGTTTTTAGAAAGTGGATGAGTTAGAAAGCTGCTGATTGTGATAGTACTTTGGATTGGAAGATATGACCAACTAGGCAATACTCTAGTGAAATGTGCATTTTGAATCTTGATTCCACTCTTTTCCCACTTTATCTCTGAAAATTAATATGTTTCATACAAGGCAAGGGAAGACAAAATCCAGAAGTCATAATTTTGTTTGTCCTACTATAATCTTAATATTTTCTTCTGTTTTATATAACTTCTTGCTTATCTCTTAACAGCAGAAATGAAACATTATTTGTACAGTTTTATTTGTATCTATATTTTATAGATCAGATACACTTTTATAAACAAACCAAGTTATATATAGCACATTTTAGAAACATACAAAATGGCTTTTTGTCTGCAAAGTTATTCAAAGTGAAGTTTTCCATAATTGGTTCTGTGTTTCTTCTATAGGACGTCCAGTGATGGAAGAGAACAAGAAAAGACGAAGAGTCCAACCTCTGAAAATGAATAAATGCAGCATAATTTTTTTGTAAAGTACATATTAAAGAGGACTTAAGGGTTGGCAGCTTGAGAATGCTGAAACTTTTAAATAATTTTATAAGCATATTTTAATGTGTACAATTTGTGAGGGTTATGGAGAGTCTACCTTTAACATTTGTTTTAAAGTATTTAAACAATCTGGGAGCATTTGGCCCAGTATTAACAATCAATACAGTTCAGATGAAAAGACCATATTATTTTAGAAATTGAAAAGTGTTTATATGTTTCAGGATTAGTTCTATAGTAACTTTACTGACTACTGTATGTTTATCTTTTGATTAATGATAAGAAAAATAACTTTTCTTTTAAATTGCCAAAATGCTCCACTTGTATAAATCTATCTGTTTTTTCTGTGTATAGTTTTCAGAGTTGTTGTTTGCCAAAGTGTCAGATTACTGTGTTTTGTAAGAAGCTGAGCGAATTTTGTAGCATTGGAGATGTTATATATATAAGTATATTCATTTGATTTATTAAAAAAAAAGCTAGTTTTGTTCTTTGGAGGTAATTGTGCCAATT